CATTTTACCTACTGCCTCGCGAACTTCCCCCACACTCACAACTGGCTCTTCCTCACTCCTACAAGATGTTATTCCTCCTTGTCCTATACACGAAATCACAGCTTCTCTATCTTCATCAACATTTAACAATTCCTCAAAATATTCCCTCCATCTTCCCAATACCTCTAACTCTCCATTTAATAACTCTCCTCTCCTATTTTTAACTGACAAATCCATTTGTTCTCTAGGCTTTCTTAACTTGTTAATCTCACTCCAAAACTTTTTCTTATTTTCAACAAAATTTGTTGATAACATCTCACCCACTCTCTCATTTGCTCTCTTTTTACATTGCTTCACCACTCTCTTAACCTCTCTCTTTTTCTCCATATACTCTTCCCTCCTTGCATCACTTCTACTTTGTAAAAACTTCTCATATGCTAACTTTTTCTCCCTTACTACTCTCTTCACATCATCATTCCACCAATCGCTCCTCTTCCCTCCCGCACCCACTTTCCTGTAACCACAAACTTCTGCTGAACACTCTAACACTACATTTTTAAACCTACCCCATACCTCTTCGACCCCATTGCCTATGCTCTCATTAGCCCATCTATCCTCCAATAGCTGTTTATATCTTACCCTAACTGCCTCTTTTAGTTTATAAACCTTCACCTCTCTCTTCCCTGATGCTTCTATTCTCCTTGTATCCCATCTACCTTTTACTCTCAGTGTAGCTACAACTAGAAAGTGATCTGATATATCTGTGGCCCCTCTATAAACATGTACATCCTGAAGTCTACTCAACAGTCTTTTATCTACCAATACATAATCCAACAAACTACTGTCATTTCGCCCTACATCATATCTTGTATACTTATTTATCTGTTTTTCTTAAAATATGTATTACCTATAACTAAACCCCTTTCTATACAAAGTTCAATCAAAGGGCTCCCATTATCATTTACACCTGGCACCCCAAACTTACCTACCACACCCTCTCTAAAAGTTTCTCCTACTTTAGCATTCAGGTCCCCTACCACAATTACTCTCTCACTTGGTTCAAAGGCTCCTATACATTCACTTAACATCTCCCAAAATCTCTCTCTCTCCTCTGCATTCCTCTCTTCTCCAGGTGCATATACGCTTATTATGACCCACTTCTCGCATCCAACCTTTACTTTAATCCACATAATTCTTGAATTTACACATTCATATTCTCTTTTCTCCTTCCATAACTGATCATTCAACATTACTGCTACCCCTTCCTTTGCTCTAACTCTCTCAGATACTCCAGATTTAATCCCATTTATTTCCCCCCACCGAAACTCCCCTACCCCCTTCAGCTTTGTTTCGCTTAGGGCCAGGACATCCAACTTCTTTTCATTCATAACATCAGCAATCATCTGTTTCTTGTCATTCGCACTACATCCACGCACATTCAAGCATCCCAGTTTTATAAAGTTTTTCTTCTTCTCTTTTTTAGTAAATGTCTACAGGAGAAGGGGTTACTAGCCCATTGCTCCCGGCATTTTAGTCGCCTCATACGACACGCATGGCTCACGGAGGAAAGATTCTTTTCCACTTCCCCATGGACAATAGAAGAAATAAAGAGGAACAAGAACTATTTAGAAAAAGGAGAAAAACCTAGATGTATGTATATATATATATGCATGTGCGTGTCTGTGAAGTGTGACCAAAGTGTAAGTAGGAGTAGCAAGATATCCCTGTTATCTAGCGTGTTTATTATTATTATTATTATTATTATTATTATTATTATTATTATTATTATTATTATTATTATTATTATTATTAATAGGAAAGGAAACTAACACCCAGGTACCTATTTACTGCTAGGTGAACATAGCAAGCAGGTGCAAGGAAACTAACACTCGGGTGCCTATTTACTGCTAGGTGAACATAACAAGCAGGTGCAAGGAATCTAACACTCAGGTACCTATTTACTGCTAGGTGAACAGAGCAAGCAGGTGCAAGGAAACTAACACTCAGGTACCTATTTACTGCTAGGTGAACAGAGCAAGCAGATGTAAGGGAACTAACACCCAGGTACCTATTTACTGTTAGGTGAACAGAGCAAGCAGGTGCAAGGAAACTAACACTCAGGTACCTATTTACTGCTAGGTGAACAGAGCAAGCAGATGTAAGGAAACTAACACCCAGGTACCTATTTACTGCTAGGTGAACATAGCAAGTAGCATAACATCTGTTAACTTGTTAACATTCAACTATACCCAAATCAGACCAACAGAAATTTAGACTCGACGTATCGCATGTCACTTTGGCTGACACACGCCTGTCTTTCCCATCGTCAGGATCGGCCGTCAGCGCTGACGATGAGGGACCTGCTGACTTGCGCCATGGATGTGGCCAAGGGCTGTGAATATCTGGAAGAGAAACATTTTATCCACAGAGATATAGCGGCCAGGAATTGTTTGTTGACTACCAAAGGTCCAGGAAGAGTAGTGAAGATAGCAGACTTTGGTATGGCCAGGGATATCTACAGGTGAGTATGGCCAGGGGTACCTACAGGAGTTAGTGTGGCCATGGATATCTACAGGTGTTAGTGTGGTCAGGGATACTTACTGGTGAGTATGGCCAGGAATATCTACAGGTGTTAGTGTGGCCAGGGATATTTACAGGTATTAGTGTGGCCAGGGATATTTGCAGGTGAGTATGGCCAGGTATATCTACAGGTGTTACTGTGGCCAGGGATATCTACAGGTGAGTATAGCCAGGAATATCTACAGGTGTTAGTGTGGCCAGGAATATTTACAGGTGAGTGTGGCCAGGGATATTTACAGGTGTTAGTGTGGCCAGAGATATCTACAGGTGAGTATAGCCAGGGATACCTACAGGTGTTAGTGTGGCCAGGGATATTTACAGGTGAGTATGGCCAGGGATATTTACAGGTGTTATTGTGGCCAGGGATATTTACAGGTGAGTATAGCCAGGGATATCTACAGGTGTTAGTGTGGCCAGGGATATCTACAGGTGAGTATGGCCATGGACATCTACAGGTGTTAGTGTGGCCAGGTATATTTACAGGTGAGTATGACCAGGGATATCTACAGGTGTTATTGTGGCCAGGGATATTTACAGGTGAGTATAGCCAGGGATATCTACAGGTGTTAGTGTGGCCAGGGATATCTACAGGTGAGTATGGCCAGGGATATCTACAGGTGTTAGTGTGGCCAGGGATAACTATAGGTGTTAGTGTGGCCAGGGACATCTACAGGTGTTAGTGTGGCCAGGGATATTTACAGGTGAGTATGGCCAGGGATATCTACACGTGTTATTGTGGCCAGGGGTATTTACAGGTGAGTATGACCAGGGATATCTACAGGTGTTAATGTAGCCAGGGATATTTACAGGTGAGTACGGCCAGGGATATCTACAGGTGGTAGTGTGATCAGGGATATTTACAGGTGAGTATGGCTAGGGATGTCTACAGGTGTTAGTGTGGCCAGAGATAACTACAGGTGAGTATGGCCAGGGATATCTACAGGTGCTAGAGTGGCCAAGGATATTTACAGGTGAGTATGGCCACGGATATCTACAGGTGTTAGTGTTGGCAGGGATATTTACAGGTGAGTATGGCCAGGGATATCTACAGGTGTTAGTGTGGCCAGAGATATCTACAGGTGAGTTTGGTCAGGGATATCTACAGGTGCTACTGTGGTCAGGAATATTTACAGGTGAGTATGGCCAGGGATATCTACAGGTGTTAGTGTGGCGAGGGATATTTACAGGTGAGTATGGCCAGGGATATCCACAGGAGTTAGTGTGGCCATGGATATCTACAGGTGTTAGTGTGGCCAGGGATATCTACAGGAGAGTATGGCCAGGGATATCTACAAGTGTTATTGTGGCCAGGGATATTTACAGGTGAGTATGGCCAGGGATATCTACAGGTGGTAGTGTGGCCAGGGATATTTACAAGTGAGTATGGCCAGGGATATCTAAAGGTGTTAGTGTGGCAAGGGATATCTACAGGTGTTAGTGTGGCCAGGGATATTTACAGGTGAGTATGGCCAAGGATATCTACAGGTGCTAGTGTGGCCAGGGATATCTACAGGTGTTAGTGTGGCCAGGGATATCTGCAGGTGTTAATGTGGCAAGGGATATCTACAGGTGTTAGTGTGGCCAGGGATATCTACAGGTGTTAGTGTGGCCAGGGATATTTACAGGTGTTACTGTGGCAAGGGATATCTACAGGTGTTAGTGTGACCAGGGATATCTACAGGTGTTAGTGTGGCCTGGGACATTTACAGTTGTTAGTGTGACTAGGGATATCTACAGGTGAGTGTGGCCAGGGATATCTACATGTGAGAATGGACAGTAATATCTACCGGTGTTAGCGTGGCCACGGATATCTACAGGTGAGTATGGCCAGGGATATCTACAGGTGTTAGTGTGGCCAGTGATATCTATAGGCATTAGTGTGGCCAGGGATATTTAGAGGTGTTAATGTGGCCAGGGATATCTACATATGTTAGTGTGGTCAGGGATATCTACAGATGTTAGTGTGGCCAGGGATATTTACAGGTGTTAGTGTGACCAGGGATATCTACAGGTGTTAGTATGGCCAGGGATATCTACAGGTGTTAGTGTGGCCAGGTATATCTACAGGTGTTAGTGTGGCCAGGTATATTTGCAGGTGTTAGTGTGACTAGGGATATCTACAGGTCAGTGTGGCCAGCGATATCTACATGTGAGAGTGGTCAGGGATATCTACAGGTGTTAGCGTGGCCAGGGATATCTGCAGGTCTGTGTGGCCAGGGATATCTACAGGTGAGTGTGGCCAGGGATATCTACAGGTGAGAGTGGTCAGGGATATCTACAGATGTTAGCGTGGCCAGGGATATCTACAGGTCAGTGTGGCCAGGGATATCTACAGGTCAGTGTGGCCAGGGATATTTACAGGTGAGTGTGGCCAGGGATATCTGCTTGTAAGTGTGGCCAGGGATATCTGCTTGTGAGTGTGGCCAGGGATATCTATAGGTGTTAGTGGCCAGGGATATCTACAGGCGTTAGTGACCAGGGATATCTACAGTTAATTGTGACTAGGGATATCTACATGTGAGTGTGGCAGGGATATCTACATGTGAGTGTGGCCAGGGATATCTACAGGTGATTGTAGCCAGGGATATCTACAGGTCTTAGTGTAGCCAGGAATATCTATAGGTCTTACTGTGGCCAGGGATATCTACAGGTGAGTGTGGCCAGAGATATCTGTAGGTGTTAGTGACCAGGGATATCTACAGGCGTTAGTGGCCAGGGATATCTACAGGTGATTGTGGCTAGGGATATACGTATACATGGGAGTGTGGCAGGGATGTCTACATGTGTGTGGCCAGGGATATCTACACTGGAAACACACACATGCGCACACACACACACACACACACACACACACACACACACACACACACACACACACACACACACGTGGTTATAATCAACACGGGTGAAGGATCTCCACAATAGGGATTTAAGGCCTACGTACGACGACTTCGTCATCAGCATCTGGCAACTTGTCACGACCTTTGCCAGTGCAAGTATCACTCACCTATTTTGTGGTTTGCATGTTGCAGGCTTGTTCTGGCCTTGCATCACTGTTAGATACTGGTCACTCACTCCTTGAAGCTATTACAGTAGTTATTAGTAGTAAGAATACTTAGTAAACTAGGAAGTCCTCTCTCAACGTGAACAAGGAATAGGATAATAACCAGCAATAATTGATACTTAAATCCGGGAAAGGGCAATAAGTGGAGAGATTTAGCATTTCTGGGAAAGACAGTTGGAACAGAGAGGTATAACGGATCTTTAAACCACACCATCTACCCCCCCAACCATCCCTCCCTCACACACACACACAAGGGCAGACACTTATAGAAGCTTTAGACCCTAGTAGCAATTTCCACTTTTTATAATCCAGAATTACTGGTATGTATTAACAGTATCTCCCCCTCATACCTCCCCCATACACACGAACACACACGTATACACACATACACACACAGCTTTTAAGGGCAACATTGCAAGTAGGTGGGGTCAAGTCCCAGGAGGGTGGGGGTCAGGTCACAAGAAGTTGCGGCCAGTCAAGGACCACTGAAACACACCCCCCACACACACACACACCCCACACACACACACACACACACACACCAACACAACACACACACAACCACACACACCACCACACAAACACACACAACAACCACACACACACAGACACACAACACCCCACACACACACACACACACTCACAACATACACAACACCCCACACACATTGCCAGACTCACACTACACTCCCCCCTCCCCCCCGACATCTCACTCCTTCACCTAATCCCTCCCTCCCTCTTTTCACCCTCCCCCTCCCCACCTCTCCCCTCCTTCCCCTCTCCCTCTCCCACTCACCCACTTGCTTCTCCCCCCTTTCCCCACTCCCCCTCCCCACTACTCTCCCACATACCCACAGTTCCTCCTCTACCTCCCCCCCACACTCTGACATACAAAATCTAGCCTAACATACAGATATTACATAGGTTTCCCCACTCTGAAGCAATCAGGAAAAACAAAAATGGGTTGCAGAGAGCAACAAGAAAACCAAGGGACAGGAGGGGGGAAACTGCAAAGGAAGATTGGGCAGCAGGAGCTCACAAAAAGGGAACATGAATGGGAAAAGAAACTAGAAGAAACTTAGCATGAGAATGGAAGAGAGGATGGGACATGGAAAGCAGGAAGTGGGAGGTGCAAGTCAAAGCAGCAGAGGCCAGGATACAGAGTTTAGAAGAGGAACTGAAAAAATCTGAAACAGCCTAAAGAACAAAGAAAATTTTGGGATTGACAACAGAGATGCTACCTCAGTCACAAATAAGGGGACTGTAGGGAAAGAAGGAGCAAAACTGCATGTAGAAGCTCAATCAATGGAGACTGTAGTAAATGAAAGAGCTAAGCTATATGTGGAGGGCCCCAACAGACCACAGCAGAAACCCAGGGAAAAGCCAAAAAGGTAAATGACAGGCCACTGAGCCCAAGTACATCAGCTAGTAAACTGAAGAAAGGAAAGCTGCATGGAGGAAATCAAATTGAATGAGGGGATACAAAGGGATATGCAGTGGGAGAATCAAAGGATGAGGTCAGTCTTTGTGTATGGGCTCCAGGAAGTTGAAGGGGAAACATACGAAGCAAGAAAACAAGGGGAAAAAAAGCAATTGAAAGTATCATGAAAGCAATAAGAGAAGACGACATGACCCAGCTGGAAAATTTTCGGAGAATAGGGGGGTTTGTAAAAAAAAGAACCCAGCCAGTGAAAGTGACCTTCAAGGCAGAATCGACTCGGAACAGGATCCTGCAGGAGAAAGAAAGATTAAGGGACATGCCGGCATACAGGAAGGTGTATCTCGACCGCGACAGAACACAAGCAGATAAAGGCAGAAACTGAGGAGAGATGGTACAGAGGCGAAAGGAGGAAAGAGAGGGGATGGAGAAGACAACA